CGCCTTTCCCATCGAATCATCAACGATTGTTAGTGAAGCTTCATTTGTCGGTGCTTTCAAAAGAAAGTTGGATCAACTGAGAGACCACCATTATCTGAACTGCGACAGGCCTCCTATCCTTTCGAAACTGAAACAATTTCCAGTTTATTCTTTTACTTTTGTTTGTTCTTCAAGCCTTTCTTGATTACAGGGCATCGATTGTTTGTCGCTTCTAGACGCATAAGAAGAAAGCTTCCCTAATATCATTGAAAACAGTCTGAGTCATTTTGGAGTTTGAAGGTTCACGCGCTCTATTTAAAAGGAAGGTGGTATTTATTTCGTGCTTTTTTATGTTGCATAAGATGACTTATATATGAAAAAACTTGATATTCATGCAATCGTACCAACCCACGGCAATTGAAATACAGAATGACCGCCTCTAGTCAAGCCGTTCAGGGTCGTTGAAACGAAAGGGCGGGCACATTTCAAAAGGACCTAACGTTTAAACCGTGCCATTGTCTCTCGTTGAGTTAATTAACTGTTTTGATCGTAAATTACGCATCAAAACTACTGTTTACGCCTTAATTGCATCTACCCCAGTTAAAGTGATATTGTATTGAGTGTTTCGATTTTGCTTTTGTGTACTTATTGCATCGAAGCATACTTGGTCGACTTTTACTTGATTTATTTAGTTAAGGTTTGAAAATCCTTTTACATATCCTGTTTCTGTCACCGTTCCAGTTGATTTTCAAGATGGCTAGGTCTGCTCATAAATGTGGACAACCATATTGCTTATTTCCCGTGGATGAAGGGATGCAATATGATGAGTGTAATAAGTGGTTCCATAAGATGTGCATCCGGTTAAGCCCCACTGCATATAAAAAGTGCTCAAAGCCCAACTCTCATTGGCTTTGTAGTTTTTGTTGCTCGAGCAAAACCTTGCTTATCCAGGAAGCAATTAGTCTCCTGGTGTTGGCTAATAAGAAGGTTTGTAGTGACTCACATTTATCACGAGAACACGACTGGTTTAATAAAAACAATTATTATTATAACCAAGTGTACCAGTGACTGTTTTAACGTGCTTTTGTTTGACTATGCTAACGACAGCTATTTTGTGCTTCCATTCTTATACTTACACTTTGATTGTAACTTCGCGCGAATTCGGTTACCTTCTGTAACCAAGGTTGTATCCTGGCACGATCTCGGTATCCTTTCGATGCCACGAGATCGCCAGCTAATAAACCTCGACTTGGTCCATTAACTGTCTTCTGGTATTCGGCTTCTCGGGGATTTTATGGAGTCATTTGGAACGAGCTTCTTACGCCTTCTGATTTATCTGGCACGTGCTTCTTGGTAGCGGTGTTCATAGTTAACCTCAACTCGACGCCACGCTACAATTGGTAATCCCAATTCGATTACAGGTTGATGAGAGCTGTACTGATAACATTGGTACTGATGGCGAATATTGCGTTAGTGTCGTAAGTGCTATCACGGCGCAAGCCAGACATCTACCTGTGCAACCCGCTATTAAACCGTCCACTCCGAAACAATCAATGAGTGACACCTCATTAGATATTGGTGGCCATATTGCTACAGCAGCAACCGGTGACCCGGATAAAACAATCACTATCCCGAGTGGTTCTAATGTGGATGCTACGACTGATGGAATATGGATGACACGTAAGCGCAGAAGATTAGGAAAGACAGCTAAAACTAATGACCGTTTACTTGATAAGTCCTTGGTGGACTCTCAGACCACTCCGCCAAAGTCCCATAGTAAAGCTTCGTCTAACATTGTTGTGAGTCACTCGCTCGGCTCCCAGGACTCTGTTAAAATAAAAACTAATCGTAGGATACCAGTAGTTAAAATACAGGATCTAACGTCACGGGCGAAAGCTGTGAACACAGTTTCAAAAGAAGCTAAACCCCTCCCTAGTTTAATTATTTGGAATCTAGAGGAGTCGAAAGACAACGACCCTGCTAGAAGACATGCACATGACCTGCAGTTAGTGGAGTCTGTGGTAAGGAATGTACTACCTGAAGGGGTTTCAGGGGTACATATTACAAAAGTAATACGACTTGGTAAATGGATTGGAGGCGAGACCCAACCAAGAAGAATCCTGAAGCTGGTTCTCGGGAGTTTTGAAGAAAGAGACATATTATTGAAAAGCGCACTAAAAACTCGTGACTCAAGTATCCGTATTCGACCAGATTGGCCGCTTGAGGATCGAATCAAGTGGAAGAATGCTCTTAAGGAGTTGAGGACTCGCAAATTAAATGGCGAAAATAACCTTACCATTAAGGGTTTTCGGGTAGTCAGGTCTTGGAAGCTCATGCTTCCGAGGCCTGTATGGGTAGAACGATTGATTTCCAAAACACCTTAAGTGTGTGCTACACGAACGCTCGTAGTCTTAGAAATAAAACGTCCGAGCTAAGTCTGATTGTGGAGGAATTATGTCCCGATATAATCGTTGTTACAGAAACTTGGTCCACCGTTGATATAGACCGTTCTCCTTTCATTGCTGGTTATATCTGTATCAGAAGTGATAGAGTTTAAAGTCGCAAAGGGGGAGGTATAATATTATACGTTAGGGATCACTTTCGTATACAATCAACCATATCGTAGGCTCATATCAGTGGCACGTGTGAAGTTGCATGTTATAAGATTAAATCTAGAAATGGGTTAGTGTCTATAGGGGGAATATACCGTAGTCCGTCTTATCTTGCTGACGACTTTATCCTAAGACACATGTGTTCTTGGAGTATGGCAGAATGTTGTCTCATCATTGGGGACTTCAACGCACCGCATATCAACTGGATAGGGCTTACAGCTCCAGGTAGTGGTTTCGATAGCGACCTTTTATCTACCGTTATTCAGTGTGCACTTGTACAATGTATCACAAAACCGACACATATTGATTTGCAGCATGTTCCGTCACTGCTGGACCTCGCCCTCACCCACCACTGTGAGGATGTCTTTGATATCCAGCATCTTCCCCCACTAGTGAACAGTGATCACGTTGTAATTCACTTTAAGTTTAGAACACATGGTACACGATTTGTATCCGCTCCATCCCGTCCCAATATCTGGCGAGCTAATATTCCGGAAATCAGAAACTGTGCTATATCGACTGATTGGTCGGTCGACGCGGATGGATTGATGGAAGATGAATGGAATAAGTTTAAGGCTACATTCGAGTCCGTAACGTCGCCGTTCATCCCATGGTCAGCACGTAAGCTATCACATTGCCCTCCATGGATTATTAAGGAAACCCGGAAGCTGTTAAAGCGTAGGAAACATTTCTGGGACTTATTCTTGTTGACAGGTCATGCACCATTTAAGCGTGAGTACCAAAAATTCCGTAATATCTGTAAAACTATAGCCAAATCTCGTACCACTTACGAACGAGAGTTAGTATATGATAGCCGTACTTGTCCGAAACGATTGTTTTCGTATGTTAAACGGCGAATGAAACGTAGTGATGGTATTCCCCCGTTACTGTTACACGAAAATTCAGAATTACTAGCTGAATCAGATCGAGCAAAAGCTGAGACTTTTTCAGACTATTTTAGCGAAGTCTTCTCTACGTTTATTGTAACAAATACTTGTCCCATTCACACCGAGATACCAACCATTGGATCTGTACAGGTGACTGAGGAAACTATCCTTCCGCTGATAACTAACCTCAAACCTGGTAAGATACCGGGCCCTGACGGGTTACATCCACGGTTGCTGTCATCTCTTGCGGACATTATTTCAAAACAGCTCGCGACACTTCAACATGTCCCTCTCACTTGCTCAACTCCCTAGAGATTGGAAAGACGCTATAGTTAGTCCTATATTTAAGGACGGTCAGCGACAGATAGTATCTAACTACCGGCCTGTCAGTCTAACTAGCATAGTCGTTAAGTTACTTGAAAAGATAATTCGGGTTAGGTTGCTAAACCACATAGATTTACACAATCTGTTAGCTCCTGAGCAACATGGATTTCGTAACAAGCGTTCATGCTTGACTAACTTACTTATTACGAGAGAGGATAGGACAGCAGCCTTAGATAAAGGCCTATATGTCGACGTGATATTCATAGATTTTAACAAAGCATTTGACAAGGTTTCACACGTAGGTCTTATGCAGAAGCTCACGAGCTTCGGAATAATAGGTACTGTACATGAGTGGATAGGAAATTTCTTATGTGACCGCAGACAGAGTGAGGGTCAACGGAACGCTATCCGATTGGAAGACGGTCAAAAGTGATGTACCCCAAGGCACCATCTTAGGCCCCCTGCTCTTCCTCCTCTACGTTAATGAGTTGCCGCTGTTGCTTAAGTTGTCGACATTGTTGTTTGCGGATGACCTAGAAATCTGGAGAACAATAGAAAGTGAGGCTGGTCATCCAGATCTTCAACCTGACTTAAACGATTTAGTTACATGGGCTCGAGGTTGTGGCTTAGAAATCAATGCTAGGAAGAGTGTGCTAATGCACACAGGTCACAGTAATAGTTACCATCATACTATTTATGGTAAACCTCTTCCATGCGTTCAAGAGCATAAAGACTTAGGAGAAGTAATAAGTCATGACGTAAAAACAACTACGCATTGCAAAGCAGCCGCTGTCAAAGGTTTTCGTGCGTTATGGTCACTTCACCGAGCGTTCAAATCTTTTGACGACGAAACGTTTCGAATTTTATATCCCATATATGTTAGACCACATTTAGAGTACTGTATCCAAGTAGCTAGCCCGTGTCTGGTAAAGGATGCTAACTCCCTTGAGCGTGTCCAGCGTGTGGGAACGAAATTAGTGAAGGGTCTTTCTAGACTCCCTTACGATGAGCGTTTAAAACGCCTAAATCTTTTCCCCTTGTCGTATCGTAGGACACGAGGTGACCTTATACTGGCATTTCGTATCTTAAATTATGATTTGGGTGTTAATATGTCTTATCTTTTTGCTCCCTCCAGCACTAATAATCTCCGAGGTCATAGCAAGAGTGTTCATAAACCACGATCTAATAAACTTAAAGTGTGGTTCCGTTTTTCTCATCGAGTAGTCAATCTTTGGAACGCCTTACCCGAACAAGTGGTATCAGCCCCATCAGTGAATACTTTTAAGGAAAAGCTGGACCTTCACTGAAAAGCAATGTGTCAGGATTAATACAGGTTCACCCACCTACTATCCTTATTACTGAAGACTGAAGACTGTTTGATTGACTTCAAGTGTTGAGCGGTTGGTCGAATGTGGTTATTTGTGGGGAATGTATGTGGTGTTTCTTAGTTTGTGTGATCGCTCAGATATCGGATATCAGTAACTCAGCTGCTGGGTATGTATGAAATTATTTTTACAATAATTTGCACAAGTATTTTTCAATTTGCCATGATCGGAACATGAACTTAAGCACAAGATACATCCTAGCCCATTGGTAAAGTAGTTGTTCAAACAAGTTGGTATACCTGTGGTATCATTTTTATTTTCGGGAATCCATTGATTTATCCCTAATTGGAGTGGGATCCAGCGGGCGATATAGTCAGGGTGGTTCCTTTCTTTGGCTGACTTGTAAGTGGGGTTGGTTTTGTACCTGTCTTAAGGTGCGTAAACGTCTATACAGATTATTGTATTCGTCTTAAAGAAATCATTTTAAAAAGATTTGCTTGGCCAAAGTAACTCTGAAATTGGATCGCCAGTTACTATCCCTAATTAGTCGTATATGAAAGTCGTATTCACTGACAGTCATTAGGGAAATGTCACTGCGAAAGCTAGCTTCTATGGTTTCCTTTTTTCTTCAACAATATTTTCACTTAACCACCTCGTCCTTTATGTTGCTGCAATCTGGCAGGGTCTCTGTGTCCCTTATGTTTCATTACTTTAGTACGAACGAGGGGACTTGAATATGACTAATTTATATGACGTTTTACACTGTGTCTAAACCCTTCCCGGCAAGTACTAGGTTATACCAGTATTTCACAGTTTGGGATTTCCTGTAAAAGTAGAAGCGCGTCGAAGGTCAAAACACATCAATGTCTCATCTAGTGCATACGACTCCTCTTTATGTCTATGGAAAATACTTTTCTCGCTTCGAAAAACAATCAAATGATTCAAATTATTATCATTACAATTATTGTCATTATTAATACTATTATTATTATTACTATTATTGTCATTATTATTATTTTCCACATTATTCACCCTCCTTTATACTTATACAGCGGCTCGTCTTTGGTGGAAATTCGACTGTATCTAAACGTTCGCGAGTCACTGTCCGGTTGAAAATTGTACCCGACCGTTGTTGCTACCTTGACGTGGTGGTCGGGCTTGCCTATCGTGATGAAGCAACCGAGCTATACTGACTGGAACAACCGTTCCTCAAGGTCCTACCATGTCAGACAGGTCGGTTGAAGAGCGGTAAGACTAAAAGCAACAAACCCAAGGTCCGAAGGCGAAGTCGTACTGCTGACTGTACAGAGGTGTGACAGCAGTAAGGTGTTTCCTTCAGACAACCAGCATGACAGCGATGCTGCCTTCCCACAAGGAGGGGTGGGGTTAGAAAAGGTCGACCCTAAAAATGCACACCTCACCTTACCTCACGGATTTCCGTCTCCGGCGGTAAGGCCCTTTGAATAACGGAGCTAACACATCGAAAACCTTCCACGAAAAGGCCGTGCGCGACCGGCCTCAAGCAGTTGTCCCTTGGGCACTGCGGTCACGCTCTCAGGTCACTGAGACCACCTCTAATCCAATTTCCTTTTCAGGTACCTCCAAGAAGAACCCTTCCACGGTGTGGGCAACCGGGAAGTGATAACCGCCCTCATACCTCTAACAGCACCCAAGACCACTGTATTCATAATCAACCTTCCTCTTCAATTCCTATTATTCCTCCTACATCGACTTTCAACCCTAAACTTCCTCCTTCGGCTTCCTCCTCAAGTGTCACCATAGCCAACGATTCTAGTGCTCAAAACTCTGTCCCAGGTCTACTGAAACCTCGCTCCAAACTACACATTGGAGCTTTCAACGTACGCACTCTATGTCAAATCGGTCAGCAGGCTTCCTTGGCTAAAACCCTAGAGTCTCTTTCCATTGATGTATGCTGTGTCTCTGAAACACGCATACAGGATCCCAGTGTGGTCATTCACTTGACCTCACCTCGGCAAAACGGAGAGCCAACGAGATACATCCTACGTGTATCTGGTGACCCTACGGCAAGTTCTCGTGGACTGGCAGGTGTAGGCATAGCACTAAGCATGAGGGCCGAACAAGCACTGCTAGAGTGGATCCCCGTCAACAGTCGTCTATGTGCTGTTCGGCTGAACGGCTACGTAAGAACTCGGAAGGATAGGGACACACGTCGTTGCCTTTTTGTCGTTTCTGTCTACGCTCCCACTGACTGCAGCTCAGATGGTGTGAAAGATGAATTTTACAGAAAGCTTTCTGAACTTCTTCAGAAAGCTAAACGCTCAGACATAGTACTCGTAGCAGGTGATTTTAATGCTCAGATAGGTAGCTTAAACCAAACAGAAAGGCATTTAGGTGGATATTTTAGTATTCCGACACAGCGAACAGATAATGGTGATCGTCTGCTACAGCTATGCTCAGACAATCGTTTATTTTTAGCAAATACAAATTTTAAGCATAGGGAGAGACATCGTCTAACATGGCGACCCCCTACACCAAACCAACGATGGACTCAAATAGACCATATTGCCATCAGTCATCGTTGGAGAGGGTCGGTAGAAGATTGTCGCTCATTCTGGAGTACCTGCTTGGACTCCGACCATGCCCTAGTACGGGCACGCATCTGCTTGCGCCTCACTGGACGCAAAAAAGCCACATTAAAAAGACCCGTTAGAACTGAGTTGAGTAACGAGAAAACCAAAAGGAGGTTCCAGGAACAACTGAGGTCACACTTAGGTAGTTGTGAAGACGAGGCTGACCCAGATGTTGCTTGGAAGAGCATACAATCAGCTGTGGAAACAGCAGTGACATCTATTAGTGACTTAAACCACAGAGTTGCAAGGAACCAGTGGATTTCTTCAAGGTCTGTCACACTGATGAATTCTCGCAAACTCGTCCCATCAGGTTCTGAACATGATGAAGAGCGAAAACAAATCAGATCTAGGTTAAGAAAAAGTCTAAGGAACGACCGTGAGCAGTGGTGGGTAACGAAAGCAAAAGAGATGGAAAAGGCGGCGACTATAGGGAACACAAGACAGCTTTACAGACTAATAAAAGAAACTGGAATTAATAAGTCAAGTGTAAGTGAGATTATTTCGGAAAAAGATGATACTCTCATCTGCTCCCAGTCCAGACGCTTAGAACGATGGGCGGAACATTTTAGAGAATAGTTCAGCTGGCCTTCAGCTACTCTACAACTACCCTCCATTCCCAGACAATGTGAATGGAACATTGAAGTAGGTCCCCCAACTCTTGCTGAAGTTCAAAAGTCTATAGTTAATCTGAAACGAGGAAGGGCAGCTGGTCCAGATGGATTGGCTCCAGAGGTCTTTAAGGATGGTGGTCCAATTTTAGCGATTAAGTTGACTAATATTTTAGCTAAGATCTGGGAATTAGACTTTATCCCATCTGACTGGTCGCAATCACTCATCGTCCCAATATATAAGAAAGGGTCAAAATCATCCTGTGACAACCACAGAGGGATTAGTTTAACAAATATAGTATCTAAAATACTGGCCTCGATAATTATCAGACGCCTAACTAAGACTCGTGAACTACAAACTCGAGAGAACCAAGCTGGCTTTAGACCTGGTCGTGGCTGCATCGACCACATATTCACCATTCGTCAGGTTCTAGAACACAGGCATACCTATCGGCGTCCGACGATGGTGGTCTTTCTTGACTTAAAAGCAGCGTTTGACTCTGTAGACCGCGAGACTCTGTGGCAGTGTCTGTCATTGAAAGGCGTACCTCAGAAGTACATAAACCTTGTGAAGGCTCTTTACTCGAACACTACTAGTCGAGTGAGAGCTTATGGCGAACTGTCATCTACTATTGCAACTTCAAGTGGTGTCCGTCAAGGCTGTCCACTTTCTCCATTTTTGTTTAACTTCATCATAGACCTATTGATGGAAATAACACTCTCGTCGACTGAATTCTCGGGTATTGATCTCCTTCCAGGAGGTCCACTTATCCACTTAGAATACGCAGATGATATAGTCCTGTTTGGTGAAGACGCTGACAAAATGCAGAGTCTTCTGGTAGCACTAAGCAACAATGCCAGAATGTTTGGGATGCGCTTCTCTCCCTCTAAATGCAAGTTGTTGCTTCAGGACTGGTGTGCGTCAACACCTGAACTAAGGATAGGGAGTGAAGTAGTCGAACGCGTCGACAACTTCACTTATCTTGGAAGTCTGATCAGCCCTAATGGGTTGGTGTCTGACGAAATCTCAGCACGGATTCGAAAAGCTCGTTTGGCTTTTGCCAACTTACGTCACCTTTGGCGGAGGCGAGATATCCGTCTATCAATAAAAGGACGAGTATACTGCGCGGCAGTCCGTTCTGTCTTACTTTATGGCAGCGAAACATGGCCTTTAAGAGTAGAAGACACCCGTAAGCTACAAGTATTTGACCACAGATGCCTTAGAAATATTGCTGGCATCTGCTGGGATCACCGGGTAAGTAATAGTGAGGTTAGACGCAGGGTATTAGGGAATGATGGTAAATCAGTTGATGAGGTTGTGAATCTTCATCGACTGAGATGGTTGGGCCACGTATTACGTATGCCTGAACACCGATTACCACGACGTGCAATGCTAACCGGTGTAGGGGTTGGTTGGAAGAAAGTTAGGGGCGGCCAAACCAAAACGTGGCATCAGTGCTTGAAGTCACTAACTTCTAGTCTGAGCCATGTTGGTAGATGCAGACTACTTGGTTGGGGTCCGCGTGACTATCGTAACCAATGGTTGGAGACTCTTGGTGACATGGCTCAGAATCGATCACAATGGCGTCGGTGTATACACTCCCTGTCTTCCCTTAAACTAAGAGATTAAATCACTTCATATCTTTCTTTCTACGAACTAATTCTTCCTTCCTATACTATATCCTTATTGCAACCTTTGACCTAACCACTCCTATGAATCCGGTGTTCATCTTGTTGTGCTAATGAGGTATGGCAACCTGGACCGATGCACATATGTGCCTGGTCCTACGTTGTAGCTGGCTGGCTGGCTGAAAATTGTACGTTTCCACTGAATATGAGTACTGAAGCAGTTTTTCCGAAACGACGTGCATCATTCAAACTGGCTGCCTTCAACGTTCGCACACTTATGCAGGTCGGACAACAGATAGGGCTGGCTATGTCTTTGGAAA